CAGGGACACAGAATTGTTGCTCAGGGACACAGAATCGTTACTCAGGGACACAGAATTGTTACTCAGGGACACAGAATTGTTACTCAGGGACACAGAATTGTTACTTAGGGACAGACACAGAATTGTTACTCAGGGACACAGAATTGTTACTCAGGGACACAGAATTGTTACTGAGGGACACAGAATCGTTACTCAGGGACACAGAATTGTTACTCAGGGACACAGAATTGTTACTCAGGGACACAGAATTGTTACTGAGGGACACAGAATCGTTACTCAGGGACACAGAATTGTTACTCAGGGACAGACACAGAATTGTTACTCAGGGACACAGAATTGTTACTCAGGGACACAGAATTGTTACTGAGGGACACAGAATCGTTACTCAGGGACACAGAATTGTTACTCAGGGACACAGAATTGTTACTCAGGGACACAGAATTGTTACTGAGGGACACAGAATCGTTACTCAGGGACACAGAATTGTTACTCAGGGACACAGAATTGTTACTCAGGGACACAGAGTTGTTACTCAGGGACAGACATAGAATTGTTACTCAGGGACACAGAATTGTTACTCAGGGACACAGAATTGTTACTGAGGGACACAGAATCGTTACTCAGGGACACAGAATTGTTACTCAGGGACACAGAATTGTTACTCAGGGACACAGAGTTGTTACTCAGGGACAGACACAGAATTGTTACTCAGGGACACAGAATTGTTACTCAGGGACACAGAATTGTTACTGAGGGACACAGAATCGTTACTGAGGGACACAGAATTGTTACTCAGGGACACAGAATCGTTACTCAGGGACACAGAATTCTTACTCGGGGACACAGAATTGTTACTCGGGGACACAGAATCGTTACTGAGGGACACAGAATTGTTACTGAGGGACACAGAATTGTTACTCAGGGACACAGAATTGTTACTCAGGGACACAGAATCGTTACTCAGGGACACAGAATTGTTACTCGGGGACACAGAATTGTTACTCGGGGACACAGAATCGTTACTGAGGGACACAGAATTGTTACTCAGGGACACGGAATTGTTACTCAGGGACAGACACAGAATTGTTACTCAGGGACACAGAATCGTTACTCAGGGACACAGAATCGTTACTGAGGGACACAGAATCGTTACTGAGGGACACAGAATCGTTACTCAGGGACACAGAATTGTTACTCAGGGACACAGAATTGTTACTCAGGGACAGACACAGAATTGTTACTCAGGGACACAGAATCGTTACTCAGGGACACAGAATCGTTACTCAGGGACACAGAATTGTTACTCAGGGACACAGAATTGTTACTCAGGGACACAGAATCGTTACTGAGGGACACAGGATCGTTACTCAGGGACACAGAATCGTTACTCAGGGACACAGAATCGTTACTCAGGGACACAGAATTGTTACTCAGGGACACAGAATCATTACTCAGGGACACAGAATCGTTACTGAGGGACACAGAATCGTTACTCAGGGACACAGAATCGTTACTCAGGGACATAGAATCGTTGAATTAAAGAGTATGTCAGAAAACACGCAGAGGAGTGGCAGAGGAGGCAATGTTTCAGGAGCGAGCAGACGTGGCAGCAGAGGAAGGGGTCGAGGCAGCACTAGTCGCAGCCAGAGGCCAGTGCTCCCGGTGTCATCCAGCGGTCGTGTCTCCACCGACAACCCTGCCGTCATCGATTGGTTGGCTCGGTCGTCTTCCTCTTCCCAGGTCACCTCTGACACCTACAGCCAACGGTCGGTGGGTACGTCAGACACAACCGTTAGTTGGCATGGCCCGGGACCAAGCCCACTGAAATCACGTGTCCTCTACCTGCCCCTGTCCTTTGGTGTTCCCTCACCAAGCGAAGTATCACATGCTGTGGGCTCAGCCCCACTGTACAGTGAGGAAGAGCTAACAGAGGGCGGTCAGGAACGGGGGGAGACATCCGCCTCTTCAGCAGCCAGGCGAAGAAGTACTGGCGAGGAGAGTGGCTCGGTAGCCGGTCTAGAGACAGGTCTGTCTCCTGACCCACACGCAGCCGAGGGGGCTAGTAGTGAGGCGGAGACCCTAATTGATGATGATGAGGCTGATCGCACTTGGCAGCCTCGTCGTCATCAGGCTATTGCTTCCGCATCATCAGGAGAAGAGGGTGCCAGCTTGGCAGCGAGCAAAACAGTCGGTGGGTTGCCCAGGAGGCAGCAGGGTCGCAGCAGTGTCAGTGGAGGCAAACGGCCACGGAGTAGAGCACCAGCTCCACTGCAGCCTACCACCACGGCCAGTAGTGGTGCCGGTGTGCACGGAGGAAGTAGCAGTCAGCCAGTGAGGAGTAGCGGGGGCAAAGTTTCGTACTCGGCGGTGTGGCAATTTTTCGTCAAGCCGCCCGAGGAAGTAAACGTAGCCGTATGTCGACTATGTGGCCAGAAAGTCAAGCGTGGCCAGGGGGCCCATGTTGGGACTACAGTGTTACGTCAGCATATGCAGCGTCGCCATTCGGTGGCCTGGGAAAACCGTGATAAAGATACGGCGGTTCTGCCTGCCCCAACCCCCGCTCCATCACCCGCTCCGTTACTTGCTCCGTCACCCGACGTCAATCGCCCTCTATCAGCCAGTCAAGGCTCCAACACCTCTGCTGAAGGGAGTTGTCGCTCGTTGGCATCTTCCGCTCGTTCAGATGCTCCTTCTCCTGCTACTCCTCTTCACGGATTCCGTCAGCAGTCTTTCTTGGAATCCGTTTCCAAGAGACAACAGTTTGCGAGCACGCACCCGACAGTGCAGAAGCTGAACGTCCTCCTGTCCAAGTTGCTGGTGCTGCAGTCCCTCCCTTTCCAAGTGGTGGACTCCGCACTTTTCCGAGAAATGATGGCTTGTGCCGCGCCGCAGTGGAGAGTGCCAAGCCGGCATTTCTTCGCCAAAAAGGCAGTGCCAGCCCTGCATTCACATGTAGAAGAGATGGTGGGCCAGTCTTTGAGCATGTCGGTCTCTGCCAAAGTGCACGGCAGCGCCGACGTGTGGAGCTGTAACTACGGTCAGGGACAGTACATGTCATTTACGGCCCACTGGGTGAACGTGGTGCCGGCACAGCCGCACCAGCAACTTGGACAGGTCACGCCGCTTTTGCCTCCACGTTTGCACGTCCTTGGTCCAGCAAAGATGTCCGCCTCTACCACCTCTTCTTCCGCCGTGTCCTCAGCCGCCACCCCCCGTGCCAAGTCCCATTACCCGACCGGCATATCACATGTGCAGGGCGCAACGGTGTCACGCTGTGCTGCACCTGGTATGCCTTGGCGAACGTAGTCAAACAGGGGAGGAACTTCTGAGTGCAATGAACAGAGAAATCGACAGATGGCTGTCTCCGCGCAAACTGAAAATCGGAACCATGTTGACCGACAACGGAAAGAACATGGTGTCTGCTCTGCGTCAAGGAAGGTTGTGCCATGCGCCATGCATGGCTCACGTGTTCAATCTGGTTGTGAAGCGGTTCCTAAAATCCACCATCCCACTGCAAGACATCCTTAAAATGTCACGTAAACTTTGCATGCATTTCAGCCATTCCTACACCGCAAAGCACACCCTCCTTGAGCTGCAGCGGCAGAACAGAATTCCACAGCATCGCCTGATCTGCGACGTTGCAACAAGGTGGAATTCAACCCTACATATGTTAGACCGCCTTTACGAACAGCGAAAGGCCATCACCGATTTCCTGATGTTACAAGCGGATAAAGGTACTCCCCTGTGTAACTTAGATGTCAGCCATTGGCAGCTCATGCGTGACACCTGCCGCTTGCTCAGGCCCTTTGAGGAGGCCACGCTATTCGTGAGTCGGCAGGACTATGGGATGAACGACGTCATTCCTCTGTTGCACGTCCTGGAACAAATGCTGTTAACAATGGCTGGTCAGGGTGCGGTAGACCACCTATGTAGTCAGTTGGTCTCTGCCTTTCTGCGCCAACGTCCATCCTCAGACACTGTGGGCCCTGTGCGCTCGCGTTCCGCTGCCATGGCAGCAGGGGAGGGGTGGGGTGGTAGGAGCAGTGGCAGCTCCACCAGCAGCGGCTGCCTCAGTCTGCAGTCGATGATGAGTAGCTTTCTTCACCAGCGCAGTGAGGAAACTACTAACCAGCCGCAGCAGCAGCAGCATCAGGTGGACCTGGAGCAGGACCTCAAACAACAGGCTTGGGCCTACTTGGACAGCACCCTGCCAACCGAGGTAGACAATCCCCTTGACTACTGGGCAACGAAACTTGACCTTTGGCCCCAACTAGCTGAATTTGCCCTTGAAAGGCTGTCATGCCCGGCCAGTAGCGTGGCATCGGAGCGCGTGTTTAGTGCAGCAGGAGGTATTGTAACTCCGCGGAGGACACGACTGTCCACCCAAAGTGTGGAGAGACGCACGTTTGTGAAAATGAATCAGGCGTGGATTAGTCTGGATTTCAAACCACCAGTTCCTGACACAACTGACTAAATCCGCCATGAATCATGCCCCAAACATGTTATTATTTTTAACATAGGCCTCTGTATGGCCTTCAATTTAAGCTGCTTACGCTTCGCCACTCTGCCATGGGCCCCTGTACCGCCTCCTCTTGCTGCTGCCAGGTCCAGAGTGTGTCATGGGTCCCTGTACGGCCTCCCATTGCTGCTGTCTCCATCGCCACACTCTGCCATGTGCCACTTTCAGGTCTCCTCACACTGCTGGTGGGTTCCATTTTGTCATAGGGTGCTGGCAGATTACGGGCCCCCCATTGCTGCTGCCAGGCCCGTAATCTGCCATGGGGCCCCGTACCGACCCCCTCATGCTGCTGCCAGGCCCGTAATTTGTCATGGGCCCCTGTACCGCCTCCTCATGCTGCTGCCAGGTCCAGAGTGTGTCATGGGTCCCTGTACGGCCTCCCATTGCTGCTGCCAGGCCCGTAATCTGCCATGGGCCCCCGTACCGACTCCTCATGCTGCTGCCAGGCCTGTAATCTGTCATGGGCCCCTGTACCGCCTCCTCATGCTGCTGCCAGGTCCAGAGTGTGTCATGGGTCCCTGTACTGCCTCCCATTGCTGCTGTCTCCATCGCCACACTCTGCCATGTGCCACTTTCAGGTCTCCTCACACTGCTGGTGGGTTCCATTTTGTCATAGGGTGCTGGCAGATTACGGGCCTCCCATTGCTGCTGCCAGGCCCGTAATCTGCCATGGGCCCCCGTACCTACTCCTCATGCTGCTGCCAGGCCCGTAATCTGTCAAGGGCCCCTGTACCGCCTCCTCATGCTGCTGCCAGGTCCAGAGTGTGTCATGGGTCCCTGTACGGCCTCCCATTGCTGCTGTCTCCATCGCCACATTCTGCCATGTGCCACTTTCAGGTCTCCTCACACTGCTGGTGGGTTCCATTTTGTCATAGGGTGCTGGCAGATTACGGGCCTCCCATTGCTGCTGCCAGGCCCGTAATCTGCCATGGGCCCCCGTACCGACTCCTCATGCTGCTGCCAGGCCCGTAATCTGTCATGGGCCCCTGTACCGCCTCCTCATGCTGCTGGCAGGTCCAGAGTGTGTCATGGGTCCCTGTACGGCCTCCCATTGCTGCTGTCTCCATCGCCACACTCTGCCATGTGCCACTTTCAGGTCTCCTCACACTGCTGGTGGGTTCCATTTTGTCATAGGGTGCTGTATTGCCTCCCATTGCTGCTGCCTCCACCGCCACACTGTGGCTCCACACTCTGGTTTTGGCCCCGTGACTGCCCAAATGAGTGAAGTGTGCGGTGATTCTAAGATCGACGGCACTCATCTGCATGTCATACTGACTGACAGTATTATTTCTCTTCCCCAGCAGACTCCAAGGGCATTTAAATTAAAGGTACAGTGTTCTGCACTAATATAAAGGCTCTCTGAAGCCTAGAAACACCCTTTTTATAAGTTAAATTCGCAGCGAATATATTTGACTCGAATCGAATTTATTCCGCGAATTCGCCGAATCAGCCGAATCGAATTTTTGAATAATTCGCTCATCTCTAGTAATATCCATGGATTCCAGACTTCAGGCAGTCATTGCCAGTAAAAGATTCTCAACAAAATATTAAAAATGAACATTTTATTTATGATTATATTCAATTGTCCAATTACTTTTGGTCTCTTGATAAAGGGGGGATGGCTACTCTTAAGAGCTGTAATTCCTAAACCGTTCCTCCAATTTGGATGTACATACCCTATGGTATGGCACTTTCAGCCCATATCCATTATATAACTATAGCTTGAATATGTTTTGGTATATACATGAAAAAAAAATTTAAATTGTGCATGTGTCCAAATATATATATGGAACTAACTGTATATAATTCAACATATAGACTGTATTTTAGATCCACAATATATTTGAATATGCAGTTCATTATTATTTAACTGGATGACAGAATAGTAGTTAACTTTTCCGAAACATTGCACTTGCCTTTGACTTTAGGTACATGGATTGTATAGGGCCCAAGATGCACTCTGTATTGTTGTCCTTAGGGGACCTAATGTGTTCCCATTATATTGCTGTTGTAGTGGTGGCTTTTGGTGGCCATAGCTATGAGCATTGGAAATGGGCACATTCAATTATATGGAGTTCTCTAATGTGCATACCTAAAAACAAAACGTATGTACAATAGTGGAGGACAAGTGGAAATCTGGTTCATTGAAAGGATTCCTTTTTTTTTGGGAGGATCTTAACACAGTGGATACCTTTCTCAGTGGCTCATAGAGGGATAATCGATTGCAGTAGCTTGCGGAAGGAACGCACCCAAATTAAGCGCTTTTGACCTACCTATGTACAGGGGGTCAATACAGTGTGGTATTGGAGGGGGAGTATGAGGGGGAGCACAGCTCACTAATCATATGTTATAATTATAGGCACCGGTTTTCATCACCAAGTCACCATTGTTTACAGGATGTGGAAGGTGCCTTGTAGTACGGGAACACTGTTCACTTCTAAAGGATGAACTGATACACAATATTGTATTGTCTTTGAATATTTGTTCTTTAAGGACATTCGTGCACGTTGCATTCGGGGGAGGTGTATTGTAGCACCTGATGTATTTTATTATTTGGCATAGACACTAATTTATATATATGTTTTTTCCACATCTTATGTTTTTTCACATTTAATTACTATGTATTGGCTCGCCACACATATATAATTATTGGGGTGGGGTGTATTGTAGCACGTCATATACAATTTTCATTGTGACAGATTGGATTGAGCACAGCTTTCAATTTATTCACTTAGTTGGTAAACAATTTTTAATTAATCGAAGACCATACAGGGGATCCACATGGTCCATTAAACGGACAAAAGGCATGTATTGGCAGAGCAGTCTCTGTGAGGTCATGAAGTGGAGGTGAGCAGACATTTGGGTGCTGGTGTTATCACAGTACACAGTCGGTTTAAGCACAAGAGGTGTCACGAATTGAATAATGGCACAAGATTTTATTCACTGAAGATAAAGGACTTTTAGTATTAATTTAATGATTTTGAGTTTGTGTTTTTGCTAATGATTTACACTGATATTGATATTACTTATTATATGTTATTATAGATATTACATATATTAAGCGCACAATTTGATCTTCTTAATGTTGTCATGTTGTAATATATGAGATACGCATAAGGTGCACAGCTGCTGATGGAGGGACAGATTATGTACAGTAGCTGATACAAGTTGTTTTTCACTATTTTCAATTGTTTTATAGCCAATGTAAAAGGTTTTAGGGTTGGTTACGACATTTGTTATTACTTTTTGCATGAGGAAAAGCTTTTAATTTTTATATATTTTATATAGAAGCTTGCATAGATTTTATGTTAAAAATGTATTTGCTTTGTTTTTTAAAAGGCTGATTCCCTGAACCCACAGTGTCATCACCAGGTCAACAGATGGCAAGTGAAAAAAAAAGTCCTTCACCATCTAACAGTGTTGAGTCCATGTCCAAGTTAAAGTCTTACTAAAGCCTATATTCACTGTATCTGGTCTCCCACAGTACACAGAACATGGAAATGCAATTATTTTTAGTAAATATAAACTGCTAAATACCTTTTCTCATCAGCAGTTAGAGCAGTTTTGTGACTTCCAACAGTGTCCAGCAGAGCACACGTTAAAGCTTGTAGGAGGAGTTTTCATTCTGCTTTAGGAGGATGCAGAACCCCTGACCTCTGTCTGAACAGCGCTGATTGGCCCTGTGCTGATCACATGCACTCTCCCAAAAAAAAAAAAAAAAAAACCTCTCTAGCAATACCCACGTGCATGTGCAGAGTGTTTCCACACGATGTCTTATCAGGTGATAAGAGGGGGACACTGGAAGAAGGAGAGGATCAGACAAGACAGGATCAAACAGGCTTTTTACACAATGCAGAGGATTAACCCCTTAAGTTCCACAGTGATTATATCAAGTATGCTTTACTGTATCTACAAACTGATTTTACTGTTGTGGGTTTAGTAACACTTTAAGTGCCAAAATTTCCAAAAACCTGTTGCCACACTTGTACAAATACATTTTGCAGAGTCATTTCAGTTAATAGTATTGTAGTTACAGTATCCATTACCAATAGGTTCCAATCAAATATTTTCTAAAAGAAGATCATCTACAAGTGAGAAAAGTTAAGAGGTGCACAAGAAGAAAAAGGGATAACCAGGACAGTCTGAATAAAAAAAGGGGGTTGGTTGTGCTGTTGCAGACATCCAGCTGTGGGACACACTTACAGACATCCAACCTCAATAAGCAGAGGCAAATATCAATGACCTAGCAGGTCCTGAGGGTTCAGTGGCATATAAGAAGTAAAACAAATCTTCCACAAGGAGGGCATAGAAAAATAAAGATTCAGCATAGCATCCCAGGCCCCCAAAGGGACATTCCGGAAACAGACCCTATGGACTATGGAAGTAACTGATAGAAATGACAAGCTGCGCACATAGACTAATGGGCCCTGGGCAGCTTTTCCAGCCACTTGGAAACCTCTTCTAGATCAGTAAAAAATTTGATAGTCTCACCATCCTGGATCCTGAGCCTGGCTGGGAAGAGCATACCACACTTTAGTCCTTGACTCCAAAACTGTTGCTTGATGTGATTGAATGACCGGTGGAGCCATTGTGTCTCCAGGGAATAATCCCAAAAAATCATGAAGTGGGCGTTTTTGTATTTGATGGATTCCAGTTTCCTGGCCTCTCGCAAGACCGGTCTCTAAAATTCAGGAGGCGAAAGATGAAGGTGCGAGGAGGAGAACCGCTGGGGCCTTTCCACTGCAAAAAAGGCTGACAATCCTGCTTGTGGCAGGAGAGAGTGGAGCAGTTGCTTGGTGAAAGCCACGGCATCTTGGCCCTCTACAGGCAATCCTACAATCCGGAGATTGTTTCTACGATTGTGGTTTTCCACGTCATCAACGTTACCATCCAGGGCCTTAACTTGCAGGTGGGTGTCCTCTGATTCATCGTTCTGTCTCACCGAGCTGCTCCCAGAATTTATCCAAATAATGGTGGATTAATCCAGTATCCATCTGGAGGTCATCCATTTTGCCCGTAAGTGTAGCTTGGCGAGTTTTAATGGCCTGCATAAAGGCTGTGAAGTTTTGCTGATTCAGAGTGGCTCCATCTGCAACGCCATGTTGGATCTCCAATGTATCGTAAGTTTCTTCACCGCAAGGAGTGGAGGATGCTTGTACCCGATAGACAACTTGCCCTTAGCCAGTGTCTATGAGTGGTGACACAGGTTCACAAGCAGTAAAGGTTAGTGATCCGAGACAATAGGACACACACCACGGAGCTCCCTTCTCAAGCATCTGCTCCGGTTACCATCTTGGACATGCCCCCCCCATTCTCATCATACTTAGCAACACCTACTTGACCAATTACTGTTGTGTTGTGTAGTCTTACGGTGGGAAAAAGCAGACAGGTGGCACAAACACCTAGTGCATTATCCAAGATTTATTAAACGATGTAAAAGACAAAACATACTCACGGACATAGCATGTATAAAAAGCTTTTCATAATAGAGATGACCGCAACAACGGGCAAGGTGTTCTAGTTGTCAGTGTGATGAGGCCCCGAAATGCTCTGAGGAAGGGGACTCATCCCCGAAACGGGTCAGCCACCTGACCACACTGCCAACTAGAACACCTTGCCCATTGTTGCGGCCATCTTGGATAATGCACTAGGTGTTTGCGCCACCTGTCTGCTTTTTTTCCCAGTGGTTGATTTACCCCGTCTGAGGAGGGCTGCATCCCTGAAGCATTTTCTGTAGGCCATTCCTGTCCTGGTTCCCTTGGCCTCCCTTTGGCAGTTTATTCCTGGAGCACTGGAGAGTACACACAGTTATCTTGTGTAGTCTTCCAGTCATCTGTTTCTTTGCTGTTATAAACAGTACATCTTGGATGTT